GGTTTTGCTGTCCCAGCTCGCGTCCACCCCGGCCTCCCCTGCCCCTCTACGCCAGCTGACTGGACCTCATAGAAACCACTCATCTTGCACAGGCCCGTCAGGGCCACGCCTCATCGTTTCTGCCTCTCTTGCCTTCACTCCGCTCATCAGCCTGGGCCTTGGGGGTTGGGCACTGCCAGCGGGCAGGACCTGCCACAGGGGCCCGGCGGCCCGGCTGCTGTTGGGACAGGTGCTCCCCTCCCTGTCTCCTCCCCAGGGGGCACCTGTGCCCTCTCTCTGTTTTAGTTTGGCCTCTCTGCTGTCTTCTGGCCTTTTCTTCCCCACCTGCCTGCTTCAACAGGGACCTGCAATGCACACCATACATTAGGGTAACAGCAAGGACCCTAATTTCTTGGGCAGTCATCGCTGAGGCACACTCAGCTACCCCAGCCCATCGACCCACTCATCACGCTCACAATACCTGACGTTAGGAATGAGCACAGTGGAATTTTCTGAGCATCTAGGGAAACCCCAACCACCAAACATCCATGCCTCGATTCAATCTAGAATATGACTCTCTGGAGCGTGTGGAATCTCTCCCGAAATAAGTCTAGAAACTTGCACCAGCAGAACTACCCAGCGGGCATCATCTCTGCCTCTTGACAGCATTTCCCACCTCCCCTGACAGGCAGGCAGCAGCGTGTGCTTGCTGCTCGCTGCACGTGAAGAGCAGCCAGGCCAGCCGCGATTTTCCTCCAGCGGTGGAGACAGTTGTGCCGCCCGGCAGCTCACCGGGAGCCGCGCCCGTGCAGAAGGCAGGCTCAGCTGCAGCAGGCCTGGCACCATAGGGCTGTGTTAAGCTGGGAGAAGCCTGCGAGTCTACTTGGGCAGAATGAGTCCCCTCCAAAGGCCGAGGTCACCTGCTTGGCTCTGACGTCACCTCCGGCAGCCCTAGCCAGCACCCCGCTGCTCCCCAGCCTGAGCCGCACAGCACCGCAGCAAACCTTCCAGGAGGGGCATGGGCCGAATTCTTTGGGGCTTTAAAGACGGTCTCTAAAGGGGCATGAGGCTCGGGTGCCATCCTGATCAGCCACCGTCTTCTTTACTGGAGGGCGGTTCAAAATCAGTCACATTCGCAGCACTCACTTTATCAAAACAAAAAGCTTACTTGAGCCCCTATTCAGGCAACTGGTTTTTTCCTTTCCCACTGGAAAGCCGGCAGCCAGCTTCTGCTCCAGACGTGGCGTTCTCTGAGGCAGCTCTGGAAGCAGAAACCAGCTTCCGGGCTGTCCCAGGTCCGCCCTCGTCCACTTTGGCCGCCATCTTGTTTCTGTTTCCACTTTCCGTGTGACTGGGTCCACGGCACCGTCTTTGTGGGTCTATAGCAGGTGGCTTGAATCTCACCTCTGTTCACGTACGCACGCCGCCCCCCTCCCCAGCCCCAGACTCGCTGGAGATGCCTCCCTGCTGGGGGGGCCCCCCTGCCGGAGCTGTCCTGGATTCTGAGCTGCTCCCTCTCTAGGGGGCTGGAGGCCACGGGCCACCCAACACCAGGATGGGCTGAAGGGCCCTGCTCAGCGAGTAGACTGACACCTAGGTTGAGGAGGGCACTTGGGGTGCAGGGCTGTGGAAAGGCACCTCCAATCTCAGTACGCCCCTTCCCTGGCCCCGCACTTGGGTCACGCCTCCCTATGGCAGGGAGAGCCGGAGACGTGTGACCGTCATTAGAAGCCGGTGTGGTCCAAACACCATCGGGTGAAATCACACCAAACTGGCCGGTCCAGCCCCTCGCGCCTCAGCCGTCGGGCCAGCTGTGGGGGCCCCGCCGCAGGGGTGGCCGTCTGCGACTGGGACATCATAAAGCAGCCCGTGGCCACACTGTGCTGTCTCTGCTGCCCCAGCCTCGGCCCTCTGACCCGGCCCGCGGGCCGGTCCCCTCGTGGCTGCTGGGGGACTGACGCCGGACGCTCGCGGAAGGGCCAGCGCTCCGTGGCTGCCTTGTGACCATCTCTGTCTCCCCAGGTGACCCCACACAGCATGTCTCCAGCCCCAGACCTGCCGCCAGGAATCCGGCCTGCTCCCCCAGGCAGAGGGGGCGGCCGCCGGCCTCCACCCCGGGCGCGACCTGCCCTTCGGCTGCAACCCGTCTCCCCGGCATGTTTCACGACGACCCCGTTGCTACATCAGAGTGTATTTTTGTAACTCCTCCCGCTCACGTCACCGGCCAGCCCCCCTTCCCGTTCTCGCCCACCTCTTCCCTCTCGGGGGGCAGGTGGAAGGACAAGACTCCCCAGGGGCCGGACTCGTCACTGCCATGACTCGTTTGTAAGAGAGCTGTTCTTGGCGGGTTGTTTTAAAGATATTTCTCCATTAAACTTCGACTGAGCAAGAGGTGGATGAAGGGGTCGACTTTTTAAGCGGCCGGGCAGCAGACTCCAACATCAGAGCACACGTGTGCGCGTGGGTCTCCCACAGGGCTGAGGAGTGCATGGCTCAGCTTCACGAAAAGCATAATGGGAAAGCCACCTGAGCATCCCCCCAGGGCCCACGGGGGGCTGACGCCCCCACTGCGTGAGTGGACAGCAAGCGGGGCGGCGGGGGGGATGAGGCAGGACACCGGGCCCATTTCTGACTCAGCAGAAACGTGCACTGGTCAGATTCCCGGGGCTGCAGATCCTGCTCTCTTGGGGCCAAGACACAAGCCCCGGGGTGTCGAGAACCTGCCGCACTCTGACCTCTAACGGGAGCCGGGCTCCAGTGTGTCGACGGTAGGCCCGGCCGGAGGCCCGGGGGCATCCCAGTGCCCTCGCCAGGGGCGTGGCCCCGGACATGGCGAGGGGAGGTAAGGCGCCAGGTTGGGCTCGAGCTGGGTCCGCAACCGTCTGCTCTCAGTAAGGAACCCTGTAGGGCAGAAAGGCCCCCAAAGGGCAACACCCCAATTTCTCTCTCCTCCAGGCCCTCAGACTCCAGCTTGGTTTCCTGTCGGTCAAGCACAACCAGAAGCTGCAGTCAGGGAGGCCACGGAAGCAGCTGGAGAGAAGAGCCTGAAGGGGGGCTGGGCACAGGGCGGGGGACCCCTGGATTCCGTCAGAGGCTTTCTTAGAGGTCGGGGTGGGGCTGGACCAAGCAAAGGCTCTCTCTGCTGGAGGAAAGGCCAAAGGGCAACCTCCCCGCTCCACCACCAGCTTCATGGCGCTAAGACTCGCACCTCGGAGGACATGACGCCTGTCCAGCGCGGGCGGGCTTTTGGCGCCACGCCCCGTCCAGGGCGTCTCACCTTCCTCCCTCCTGGACCGGGCGGCCCTGCCCTGGTGGCCACTGTCCTCCAGCTCAGGCCGGCCGATTCGGGGCCCTCTCTGGCCTCACCCGCCCCCCCCGGCCACGCCCCCTGTCCTAAGTTTGCTTTCCATGACTTCCTACCTTGGCCTGGGGAGCCACGGCGGCGGCGTTCAGAGTCCTCGGTCCAGGGGCTGCCAGAGGGCCGGGGGCTGGCCCTGCCCCAACACCCTCCCACCCGGGCCCAGGATGAACTGGCCTCTCGGAAAAGACTGATCCAGACAGGCCATCGCGGTGTGACCACAGGGAAGCGGACTGGCAGGCTTTCGGCCCCGTAGCCTGTGGCCACCACCTGCTGCCTGGATGGTGCCAATGATGCCGGGGGCGCGCGGGAGTGGGGGCGTGGGCACGCGCCTGACGTGGAGCACGGGTGTGGGCGTGTGCTGGTGTGAGCACCTGGGCTGTGAGGGTGGCTGTGGAGGGCGAGCGTGGCCACTGCCGAGGAGCCGGACCGCAGGAGGACGCGAGCAGAACGCCGGG